TTTTATATCTTGGATCTAAAAAAGCAGAAATATGTAAAGATTCTGTAATTAAATTTAAATATTCAATATATTTATATGACATTATATTAACAACTTCTTATAATAAAAAATCTTGGTCCTTATCAAATTCTAATTCATTTCTAATAGCTAATAAAATTATTTGTGCATATGCAATTATAGAATAGGATTTGTAACTAAAACATTAGTAAAAAACAAAATAAGCAATATCTATATTAAATCATGAAACTAGTATTCTTTGTAACTATATAAAAATCTAAATGACTTTTTTTTTATTTTTAAGAATTATAGAACAATTTGAATTGTGTTATGAGTGTTCCAAGAGAAAACCTCAAACCTAAATTTAAATTTATTATATATTAACTATAATCTGAAACATACATAATATGTATTGAATTTATATATATCTCTAATTAGAATTAAATTTAGCAAATAATAATAATAAATTTAAATTTCCAGTTGAAGTTTTTTTTAACAGTAATTATATAATTTATTAAATTTATTATTTTATGAGTATTTTTAATTAAATCTAATTATATCACATTTCTGATTTTAGTGTGACTATATCACACAGCTATCCTAATTTTGAATGTGTCAATATCTAAAATTAAGAACACTTAAAGATCAGTGATTATCATATCATATGAACATATAATTATACATTTATTTACTATCACTAACAAAATCAGAATATCAATGATCTACTCAAATTCTATTCTGAAACTTTAATCTAGAGAGTGGAAGTTAATTGTTATAATAAATTATAAGTAGCTGTGCAATGTTGTCATGTAAAACCAGGAATATAAGAAATCTATACAGACACCATTTTAGTTACAGGAAATCATATTCTTCATTGCAATCAATTTCTGATATAAGAAAATAACTTTTTATAAAAAAAGTTAATAGTACTTGCAATTTGAATATTGGCTTGAATTTCAGTGACTAAGCCTAAAAACCTATTAACTAAATTAATGTCTAGCCAGTATTACTTAGTTCTGATGAATATAACCCAAAATTTTGGGGCTTACAAAAATATTAAAAACTATGAAGCATTACTAATTAACAAATATGTTACTTAATTTATAAGCAAGTGTATTTAATTTTTTATAATTGACATTAGAAAATTGTTACAAAAAGCAATTTTTACTTCTATGTTAACACTGTTATAAAATAAAGTACTTTACTATTTCTTGTTAAGCTAATTAGAATTTTTTTCCTCTTTTATCACTGTTTCTATTTTTTATATTATAACACTTATAGTTTTAAAAAAATCTTAATTTAAAGTAGTCCAATATTTTGAACTAAATTTATTTATCAGAGGTATAGTTTAGATTTATTAGTTCAAACAACTTGAATCAAACTCTAAGAAATAAATTCGATAATGATAATTTTAATATTAAACTTGTCTCTTAATTTGCAGACAAGTATATCAAATAGAGGATCTGCACTTAATTTTTCATTCAATTTCTATAGAAAATAACTGTAAAAACAAACTTTGTTCTTATATTAGTACCTTTATAACATAAAACATGCTATCATATCTTATTAAAAAAAAATTACTTTATACCTTCCTTTTGTAAGCTAAATTATGTTATGATTTATATTGATTCTTATTCTAAAAGAATCTTAAGTCAAAGTTGCTTTTTTTTTAGATTCAATAATATAAAAAAATACATCTTTTTTTTTAAAAAAAAAAGAATTTATTTTTTTTTGTTAATTGATAGTTAAACAATATTACAATAATGATAGTAAATTTTATTTATAGTCTAAGTAGTAGTTTATATTAATATAGTAATTTATATTAACAATAGCAATAGTAGTCAGTGATAGTTTATATAATGATAGTGATAGTAATATATATATTTTATTAAAATGTTTTTTTCTTTTTTAAAAAAAATGAATACAAAACAATTTAATGCTTACAATAATAATACATCAATTCTTAATAACTTTGAATATATTCCAAAGAATTATGAAGATACCAAAACTACAAGTCTAAATATTGAGTCAGAAGGTGCTATAACAGAAAGTGCTATGACAGATAAACTTGACTTTAATCTAGAATAGAAGCCACTTCTTTTTGACAATATTAGCTTTAATAAAGCATGTGAGTTTGCAGAGGCAGAAGAAAAAGAAGATATTAATATTTTAAGAAAGAATAATAATACTAATATTGACATGAATAATAATAACATAGCAGCACTTGATTTAGAATTTGAGTTAAATGATGAAAATAAGTATTTTATCCAAAATACTATTGATAGTGATACTAGTTAGTGATTGTCAGCCTGCCCACTTCTGAACTTTATTGATGGTAGCATTAGATGCTACAAAAGTTATTTACAAAAAACACAAAGGTTACTTTCTCAACTCATCAGATTATAGGAAATAGATTCTGAGATTTTTAAGAAAACCTAGGCAATAAACCAATTATTAATGATAAGAGTTTGTCAAGCACATTTTTTATTTGATCAAAATCAGCTTCATTAACTATATACTAAACAGACAAGACCTATTAGTAAAAGTTAAATCTTTTGTCAACAATGTTTATTTTGTAGCAAATACAAAATATTTTTTTAGTAAAGATAGAACTTACATACAATATTCACAATGTGTTTTTGGAAAGAATGTATAGATACCTTGTGTTGGACTCAAGGTTTGCCTCATATTTCATGAAGAAGAATTAAAGAATGTTGTAAATAATCAAGGAACTGAATATCAGCCCAAATAAATATATTCAAAATACTTTGTTAATGAAAAGAGATATTTTTATAAATGGTAAGATTATGAATATCCAGCATTTGAATGTAAAGATTTCATAAAAATGATACAAATGATAGACTTCGAATATTAGGTCACTGGATTTTATGCATGACAAAGACTAATAATGAAGACAAAAAAAAACTCTTTTAACATATTTAATTTTTGTTCTGTCAATATTATTTGATATAAAATCATTTTTAGCAATTACAAATTTATTTAGTCTTCTGTTTATTAAAATGTTTTAAGATTAGATCATGTTAGCATAACAAATATTACAAATCAAAAGTATAATATTATACCTAAAACAGCTCTAGATTTAGGAAGAGCATTAGGAATTGCAATATAGAAAGTATGATATGAAGTACAGAATAAAAAAATAAATCTTGAAAGTTCAAAGTCTTTAGCAGCATATCAAAATAGATTTCTATCATATATAGCAAATTTTTTTAATGAATTTATAGAAACTTTACAACAAAAAAAATATGATGTGCTAATAAAAAAAAGAAAACAAAGAAACTTGCTATTGAAAGCTTTTGATAAGGATTGTGTAATAAGAATATCAGTGTTTCTTATTTCAATAATATTAAATATTGCATTTTTAGGAGTTAATATATAGTTAACCTATATAATAAACTCCTTATGCAGAAAACCTAAATTATTTTATTCTTTATACAATATACTTTGTATAGCTAATGTAGTATCATATACACAACAACATGAATGAGTCCTGAAAAAAGTTCAGCAATATGAGGCAAAACCTAAAACAAAGTTGCTACATAGTAATTATATATGAAATGTTTTAGTAATCAATAATATTGACTTTGTAGAAAGGACTTTTGCATATAGAAATATTTGTGATGCAGTACAAAAAGCAGTGCATGCTACATTGTATATGGTTTTTTAATTTACAATGCCTATGAACTGTATTGCCAGAATTATATAAATCTTAATAGCTTTCATAAAATCGATCAATTACTTTTTGGAACTTTAGTTTTTACAAATAACCTTCTTAAGGTTTATGAAACAACATTTCAAAATTTTTTGCTGTCAGTTACTAAGGATTGTTATGAAATTTCTAAAAATGTTCCACTTGGATGCCAAGTGCTGCTTTCCAAAGTTGTAATACTTAGTCCTGGAAAAAATCCAAACTGTAATGAAAACATGTATAAAGCATATGATTTGTTCTATGATAATATAGAAATATACAACACTGGATATTTGGATATAGCTTGCAATTAGGTGATCTTTCATAGATTAATTTCATATAAGATAAAAAATAGAGATGCAAGATCTTTATTAGGTCAATAGCATATTTCAAAGAATATGTGTATTATATTAATAAATATTTTTTCAGGTTATAGTATTGCCAATATGGCTTTAAAGCTTGGAGTTTAATTTTTAGATAGCTTGAAAGTGTTATAGACTATCTAGCTACTTGTAAAGTTTTAGTATTAATCTGAGTTGCTATTGGTATTACAATTTGTAAATATTTGCATAGCAATAATATAAAAATGAATAATATAGAAAGTAGTAAGAATAATACTCTTAGAGTTTATTATCATTATATTTGTTAGATCAGTTATTAGGTTGGATATAAAATTGATATTTGTCGAGAAAATTATAAAATACAGATAAAGAATTTTGCAGCATTCGCTTTTTTCTTTTCTGTTGCCAGTAAATTTAATTATTCTAGTTCAGTAGCTCATTTTTTATTATATATTAATGAAGATTCACATCTTAAAAAATTATTTCAATATGTCTGTTCTGTTAATTTAACCCAGCTTGGACATTTTTTTGCTTTTGATGAAGCATTAGAACATCTTGATGTCATGTTTGTAAAATAAAATATTGAAAGAAAAATAGTAGATGTAGAGAAATTAAAACATAAAATTAGTTCAGCACAATTAGAAAGAGAATAGCTAAAAATATTAATTTCTGAATTTATAAAAGATATAGTTACTCTTACAGAAGAAAGGGTCACAATATCAAGAAAAGAAGCTCTATGGAATTTAACAAACAAATTATTTATTGCACTTACTTTGCCAGATTCAAAAACCTATAAAATTTTTATATATGCTTCAGAAATGAGACCAGTAGGATTTTATAACATATTTACATACTATGACCTTGGAATAACTTATCTCAAAGAAATTCTGCAGCAAGATGTATACAAAATTGAACCAAGAAACACAAAAGGTCACAGAAAACACAATGTAGTAGTACACAAGTTAATTTCACAATTAGTGCCTCTAAAAAAAGAATTAAAAGAAGACCAACAAAAAAATAACATTTTACAAAATAATCAAATTGAAAATAATAATAATACAACTAACAAACTATATGAACAAACAGGTATTAAATGCCAATGTAGAGTTACAAATAATAATGAAAAAATATTTCTTAAAGAATTACTTAAATTTGATATCTTTTCTGAAGACAAAACTATCAAAATGTTAGAAAAAATTTAAGAACAAAGTAGTGATTGGGATATACAACATTTTTGGATATACTAGAATAATAATTGTTATAATAAAAGAAGAAAGGTTTCTTCAAATATATAATAACTATGATTTTAATTTTTAATAAATGTTTTTAAGTTATTTTTAACATTGTTTTTAACATTGTTTTTAATGAATTGTTTTTCTTTTTAAGCTTAGTTTTAATACTGTAAATGATTAACATAAAGTTTAAACAATGCAACAAAATATATTCTCATTTCAGTAAAGTTATTATGCAATAAATTTATCTGGTAACAATATTTTATATATAGTTGGCAATTTTACTAATTTTTATTATATATGCTACTAAATATTGTAAGTCATTTAATATAATTAATCATTTAGTTTTATTTATTAACACTCTATAGTTATTGTTATATAATACAAAATCAGATACTTAGACAAATATGAAATGTAATAATTGATATATTCTTTATTATATCTTAGTAATTAATAATCTAAGTCTAATATCTTATTAGAATTGTTTGGTCCAACTTCTAATTATAGTTGGTTTTTAGCAGTACTAAGTATATAATTTAATAATATTAATTAAATATTTAAAGTACAAGGTTTTTTTATTAATCATTTAAATTAAAAACTTCTAACAAGTTTATTATAATTTTTAGTAGTTATAATAAAATACTTTGTGATGATCTGTGGATCTGATTTATCAATAGTTAGTTTGAAATATTTTAACATTAAATTTAATTTTTGAATTATAAATCTTATTTTTATATACATGCTGTGACATTAGTAGATGTTAGTTTTATAAAAAAAAAATATTGACATTAGTGCCAATTATAAAATCATGAAAAAAGATATAAATATAACTTATTTTATAATTTTACAATAAGAAATTGTATCATATATAACAAAAAATTAAATAAATTTGAAATTTGAAATATATATTTATATATTATAAGTATGATATAATGGTTTGTTTAAATAAAACTATCAGCAATAATAATAGCTTGAATTGATGCAACAAAACAAATATAATAGTAATTTAGGATTTGGTAATTTAGAATTTGATTATTGAGTATATACAAGTTAATTGAGATGAATTATAGTCACCATATTTATTTTTTTATTTTTTATTTTTATTTTTTTTTATTTTTTTATTTTTTTTATTTTTTATTTTTATTTTTTTTATTTTTTTATTTTTTTATTTTTTTAGCTTTCATGTTTTGCAAATTGAATTTACATTAAATTAGTAAAAATTTTAGTTTAATGCTCATATAAAACAGTTAAATATTGTAATAATTAGATAATCCAAAATGTTTAACTGTTTAAAACATTGGTAGAAATATTCTTTAAAAACAAAGAAACCTAAAAAACCAATTATTTAATAATACTGTCAAGTTAACCAGTTTAGAAACTGTTAAAAGCTGATTGATAACTGGTAAGCCAATTTATAGTTATTAGCATATCTATTACTTGTAAAGTTTATTTCTTTTGCTATAAATTGTATTGATAGTTATATGTAATATTGGATCTTATTTATAAATTTTAATAGTACTTATTAAATATTTTGAATTTAAATTAATTTTGATAAACTTTATTTATTTTTTTAAAAAAAATCTTTAAAAAATTTTTATAAAATTGTTATATAAAAATGATTAATTTCATCATTCAAAGATAACTTTTATATAATATAACCTTATATATTAAGTAAATATATATCTAAGCAATTAATTTATTAACAATTCAATAATAGTTAAAAGATCACTAAAACCAACTTCTCTCAAACAAACAATTTAACTTTTCTCAATATTTTACTAAACTAACAACTCTTAAACTTTTAATTAAACTTTTTTCTTACAACTTTCTAACCTAAAAACAATATAAATTTATTTATATCTATTTTTCCGATATAAAAAACTCTTACATTTAAATAAAATTATCTTTATTTATACAATTTTTAACTTTCTTCAATTTATACTTAAT